CGTACAAAACGAACATGATACCGGTGATAAGATTAACTTGAGTTCGGTATTCCACACTTCAAATAGTTACAAAAAAACCGCCCAATGGATACAGGGGCGTCATCTGGGGGGTGGGGGGGGAGGGGGGTGTTACCCGCCGTTCAGGAACCGAATGTGCTAATATTTTATTTTCTCGCTAATCTGTCATGTCTAAATCAGCGAAATCAAGGATATTATCTTAGAAATGGAAGGAAGATAGGACATAAACATTATTTTGGAATTTGAAAACAGTTTTAGCCAATAACTGCAAGTCCCCTTAACGAGTATCCACTGCAACCACCAAACCCTCAAAGTCTTTTTCTCCTAAATTACATCTCTAAGAGCTGGCCGTCGCATAAAAGTACCCCTAAAATAGCTTAGAAAAAAACAAAAGAAATCTCACGGAGCCGATGTTATAATTGCGTTCGCTCCCCACGCCGACCTTGCCCCCAGAAAACGAATGTTGAAATGACACACACAAACACACCAGTTCATTTGCTGTTCACGAAGAAACTGAAGGTTTGGAGTCAGCTCAGGTATGTGGACTGTTTTACACGTTTTGAACACGTCCAATTCGGTACTTGCTGAGAGACTGCCAGTTGCGTAGTTAAGCACAGTATCTCCTATACTAATGTTTTAGTCTTCATGAGAGAGATACACGTGATAAGTGGTGACGGGGGATGTGGGGGGGGGCAAATGTTAAGAGCACTGATAAGAAAATCGCCATGTAGCTTCTTATTACAGAAAATGGGAAATGTCATGCATCGTAGAAAATGGAGCGATGATGGTAGACTATTTTATTTTTCATTGTATTTTTTTCTAGATGAAATGGTATTAATGATTGTATTAATAATGATACCGTATTGATAGAGATAACAGTGCTTAATATTTAATTCTCTTTCTCTTTTGCTTTTTAGTTATGAGATATGAATGTTATTTATTGCTTATCTTTCTTGTTTAATCTTGCCACACACAGCACAAAGGCAATTACGAAAAGAGAAAAAAAAACATTAAGGAAAAAAAATCTTGTCCTTCAGTATTTGGCTTTGTTCTTAAAATATGGAATATATCCCAGTTGATACCAAGATCACCAAAGGAAGAGCTATATACGTGGAATTCAACCACATCCTAAATGTATTTTGCAGTTCTGTGCATAGCTCAATTTAGGTCAGAATAGTTTAGTTAGTCAGATAGAACCTCTCGTTTTTTGTACGGATTGTGACTGATGGATCATACAATAATAACCAGGCTTTTTGGTAGCAGCATTTCTACCATTTTTCTAAACATGAGATGTCAAAGAAAATGGATATAGATAATAAGATTGAACCACGTTACACTATTATCAACGGATGAATCTTAGATTACAGTCACATCGCGTTGGGTCAGAGTACGATGATTATAGGATTCCCTGCGGTAATTTCTGGTTTACTGCACTGCATAAATCAATATATAATAGATATATGATTAAACCAATAATCTTACAACATCCAACAACATAAATTGCACCCGCATCTCTTTATATTAATGTACCAGATGTATAACTTCAGAAAATACATCAATCGTAAATTTGATTCATCTAAAAAACTGTATACGACTATTCATAATATGTTACACAGTTGAAGGTTTAGTCACTGTAGCTCTGCCTTTGGTGATGCTCAGCTGGAAGACCCATCTGAGGTGACATTGGATGAAATTTCTTCCAAGACGACGTTCGGTCTGCCACTTCATATCAGCAGTTTGGTTTCAAACATAAAGCCTACGGAAAAAAAAAATCCGTAGTGACGTCATCATCCGTCGGTCGTCTTTTGTTTCCGTTTAGCAGACGAATTTCCGTAGAATTCCAGCTCTGGTAATCACACACACATGTATTCATACATGCATTTACAAACACACACACACACACACACATGCACACACACACACACACACACACACACACACACACACATACACACACACACAACACACACACACACACACACACACACACATATATATATATATATATATATATATATATATATATATATATATATATATATATATATGACGAATTCTAACACATTTCTTTTTCTAACAATTTTCTCCTCCCCCCCCCCCCACTCTTATTCCCTTCCTTTACCCGTTTCGTCCGTTCGTTCGTTCTCGTCAGACGAGTCTCGCATTTCGTGTCAAATAGACGTGTGTGTTGTGCTGGTATTAATATTCGTGTTTTGCCCTGGGGTATTGGAGGTTGTCATGCTTGATAGGTATCTAAACATATTTGAATGAATGTTTATGTTTTGCATTTTCATAGATGAAACAAGTCTCGACTTTCGCCCCGAACACAGAGAAAAGAAAAAGTTGAGAAAATATGTGACGAAAACACGCCATGATGCCTTGTTGATAGGAACGGTTTCTTTTATTATTATTATTATTTTTTTTTTTAACCGTGGATATAGCAACGGAATTCATCGAAATTGTTCTAGTTGAGTGGAATTAT